ATCTTTGATTTTTACCGAAGTTCAAAAGTAAACAAATCATGCTATGCGTCCAATACACATCAACTGGCGAGTCTAATATTCTTTCACAAGTGCTCTGATATTATTTATACCATTTCTACACTAATGCAGTAGTCTGCATAACAGTAAATCTTCTATATTTTTGTGAGAATAAAAATTCAAAGTGGAAAGCAAAAGAATGTAAGAGGGGTGTGGGGATGTTACTAATAAACAGAGGAAATGTTATTTTAGTGCCAGGAATGTGTTTCTTGTTTATCCTGGACCCTATTCGGAAATTGGCATCTTTGAAATTTGTGTGAAATTGGCAAAATTGCTAAATTCTGACCACTGTATTGGATAGTTGAAATCGGTAAATGGATGGTTTCTTGTACTCATTCGATAGAAAAAATGGAGTTCTAGAGAAATAGTTATGATTTTTGTCGACTAGTACACTGGAATTGGCTGAAAATAGGGCTCAGTGAGCAAAATCTCTGATGCGCAAACATCGTCGAGACCGCTAACTTCGCGAGAGCGTAATTCCGCAAGTTTTCCATCAAATTTCATACTTTTGGTGTCATTATGATCGGGAAAAGATTCTCTAACTTTTCATAATTTTTTTTTTTTTTTAATTTGGCGACCCTGGGAACAAGTCTGGGAGAGGGCCTGTCGACCCTGAAAGGGTTAAGACTTTCCTAAAATGAGCTATAAATTGTCATTGTACAGGTTGCCAACACAGCTTGCAGTAGCTGTGCCAGGGTGATTTTCATCCGTAAAGGTTTGCAGTTAACCCACTTTGCACACATTTCCTTAATCTTTGAAGTAGGCAATTTCTCTGTCCCCTCCTCTGAAGCAGTTTCCTCAGGTCTGGCCTCTTGCTGTTGAAGATGCTCTTGCAGCTCATCAGTGGTTAGTTCTTCATTGTCCTCCTCCACATCCTCCCCACTAACCTCCAACCCCAAGGACTTCCCCAATGCCACAGTGGATTCCACAACTGGCATACGCTTCTCAGAGTTAGCCCCAAACCCTTCAAAATCCCTTTCTTCTACACATTGTGGCCACAGTTTCTTCCAAGCAGAGTTCAAGGTCCTCTTAGTCACTCCCTCCCAAGCCTTACCTATAAGGTTTACACAACTGAGGATACTAAAGTGATCTTTCCAAAACTCTCTTAGTCAGTCGGGTGTCTGTGGTCACTTCAAAGCCCTTTTGAAACATAGCTTTCATGTAGAGTTTTTTGAAGTTTGAAATGACCTGCTGGTCCATGGGCTGCAGGAGAGGAGTGGTATTAGGAGGCAAAAACTTGACCTTAATGAAGCTCATGTCCCCAGAAAACTGCTCTGCCAAGTCTGAAGGATGACCAGGAGAATTGTCTAATACCAAGAGGCACTTACGGTCCGATTTCTTTTCCATTAGGTAATTTTTCACAGTGGGGGCAAATGCATGGTGTAACCAGTCATAGAAAAAGTCCCTAGTGACCCATGCCTTGCTGTTTGCCCTCCACAGCACACAAATTAGCCTTGAGGACATTGTTTTGCCAGAATGCTCTGGGAGTTTGAGTGATACACCAATAAAGGCTTCACTTTGCAATCACCACTAGCATTAGCACACATCAACAGAGTAAGTCTGTCTTTCATAGGCTTATGTCCTGGGAGTGCCTTTTCCTCCTGAGTAATGTAGGTCCTGCTTGGCATTTTCTTCCAAAACAGGCCTGTTTTGTCGCAATTAAACACTTGTTCAGGTTTCAATTCTTCACTGTCTATGTACTCCTTGAATTCCTTCATATATTTTTCAGCCATTTTTTGGTCCGAACTGGCAGCCTGACCATGCCTTATCACACTATGTATGCCACTACGATTCTTAAATCTCTCAAACCAACCTTTGCTGGCCTTAAATTCACTCGCATCACCACTAGTTGCAGACATTTTTCTAATTAAATCGTCATGCAACTTCCAAGCCTTTTCACATATTTTCGCTTGAGAGATGCTATCTGTTTTTCGTTTATCCACACCAATAACAGTCTCTCAACATCTTCTATCACTTGTGATCTGATTCGAAAACAAACTTGCACCTTTTGCAAGAACAGCTTCCTTGATTGCTGTTTTGTTGGCCAAGATAGTAGCGATGGTTGATTGGGGTTTGGTATACAACCTGGCCAGCTCCGAGACATGCACTCCACTTTCGTACTTAGCAATTATCTCTTTCTTCATTTCCATAGTAATTTTCACCACTTTTTACCACTAGAAGTTTTCTTGGGGCCCATGGTGACTTATTTTGCAGTTACAAGCACTAAAAACACTGATAATATGAAATGTACTGAATGTATGCTTTGATGCGACCCCACTGGCTGGCTTGTAAACACAGGCACCCACGGGGCAGCTGAGGCCACACGTGGGACACGTCCCGGACGAATCACGTAAGGTGAGTTTTTTATCATGAGGCGAGGCAAAAAAATTTGCGTTCAAATGCTTCGTATGGCGTATTTAACGTAACGTGATGCGTTCGTAAAGCAGGGGTCCACTGTATATATTATTTAGGTACAAATACTGATCAGAGAGCCCGTCGTAAGTCTGAGGCATCGGTAAACGAGTACGTCGCTAAGTGAGGAGAGGCTATGTAACTTGACAGTCTTCATGTGTTGGTTCAAGACTTTGTTGGATACCTAGATGAATTGTGCATATATTCTAGAAAGTTATTGATGTAGAACAATGGGTAGCTAAATCTTTGTTCAAACTTTTCTCCAAAATGTAATGTACAGTGGGCCCTCGGTTAACACCTTTAATCCGTTCCAGAAGGCTAGCCTTTAACCCTTTGAGGGTTTTGGTCGTACTAGTACGTCTTACGCGTAGGGGTTTTTGACTTACTAGTACGCATAAATTCTAGCAGCCTCAAATCTAGTGGGAGAAAGCTGGTAGGCCTTCATATGAAAGAATGGGTCTATGTGGTCAGTGTGCACAGTCTAAAAAAAATCCTGCAGCACACAGTGCATAATGAGAAAAAAAAAACTGAGACCATTTTTTTGGAATAAATCAGCGACTTTGCAGTGTATTTTCGTATGGTATTTATTGTTGTATTCTAGTTTTCTTGGTCTCATTTTATAGAATGGAAGACATATTACAGAAATTGAGATGATTTTGACTGGTTTTACAATGAAAGGTGCCTTGAAATTGAGCTCAAAGTAGCAGAAATGTTCGATTTTTTCCAAACTTCAAAAGTAAACAAATCGTGCCAAGCGTGCAATACACGTCAACTGGTGAGTCTAATATTCTTTCACAAGTGCACCAATAATATTTATACCATTTTTTACACTAATGCAGTAGTCTGCATAACAGTAAATCTTATATTTTTTGTGAGAATAAAAATTCAAAATGGAAAGCAAAAGAATATAAGAGGGGCCTTGAGACGTGACTAATGACTAGAGGAAATGTCATTTTAGTGCCAGGAATGTCTTTCTTGTTTATTCTGGACCCTATTCGGAAATTGGCATCTCTTGAAATTTGTGTGAAATTGGCAAAATTGCTAAATTCTGACCACTGTACTGGATAGTTGAATTTCATAAATGGGTGGTTTCTTGCACCCATTCGATAGAAAAAATGGAGTTCTAGCGAAATATTCATGTTTTTTGTCGACTAGTACAGTGAAATTGGCCGAAAATGGGGCTCAAAGTGGGCAAAATCGCCGATGCGTAAACATCGCCGAGACCGCTAACTTTGCGAGAGCATAATTCCGTAAGTTTTCTATCAAATTTCAAACTTTTGGTGTCTTTATGATCGGGAAAAGATTCTCTATCTTTTCATAAGAGAAAATATTTTTTTTTTTTTTTTTTTTAAATTTGGCCGACCCTGAGAACGAGTTTCGGAGAGGGCCTGTTGACCCTCAAAGGGTTAACCAAATTAATTTTCCCCATAAGAAATAATAGAAATCCAATTACTCTGTTCCAGATATCCAAAAGTATTAAAATAATTTTTTTACATGAAATATACATTTCCCTACACAGAAAACAATGATACATGAAGAATAAAACAATAATATCACACTTACCTTTATTGTGGACTTGTTGAGTGATGAGACGGGAGGAAGGCAGAGGATGGTGCTCTATTGTTTGGAAGGGGAATCCCCTTCCATAAAGACTTCAGGTAACAAGTCCTTTTCTGGCTTGTGTCCTGGGAGTGCCTTTTCCTCCTGAGTAATGTAGGTCACTGTTTGGCATTTTCTTCCTAAACAGCCCTGTTTCGTCACAATTGAACACTTGTGGGGTTTTAATTTTTCAGTCTCTATGTACCCCGTAAAGTCCTGCACATATTTTTCAGCAGCTTTTTTGTCAGAACTGGCAGCCTTACCCTGCCTTATCATACCATACCACCATCACAACCACTACCACCGTCTACTATCACCATCACTACCACCCTCTACTATCACCATCACTACCACCCTCTACTATCACCATCACTACCACCCTCTAGACCACCACCCTCTACCACCACTACTACCACCATCACCACCACCCTCTACCACCACCACTACTACCACCATCACCACCACCCTACTACCACCACCACTTTTGTATTTTTCTACAAACTTTTTCTTAAATTATGTATTTCTCACATTCTTTACCATAGGGCTAGCACTAGAAGCTTTCTTGGGGCCCTTGGTGGCTTATTTAGCTGTTACAAGCACCAAAAAAATGAAATAATGCAAAATATATCACATGTACACACGGAATCATCCTCACTGGCTTTGTAAACAATGGCACACTTGACTGGTACAGGGAGCGAGTGGCCGGGCCGGCTCAGGCCACCGTGCCAACACGTTCAGGACGAAAGCCCCTAACCGAGGTTTTAGTGTTATCTGAGCCAATTTTTTCACACCAAAACAAGGCATTATCCGATTTTGGCGCTATCCAATCCTGGTGTTAACCGAGGGTCCACTGTATCTGTTCTAGGCTTCCTTGTTTGTTAGAGGTGTAATTCTTGGAAACCAAACATTAATTTGTTTAATTTTTATTGCAGGTAACATTTTGAATAACTGATCACGTCATGAAGGCTTCCGGCCATATTGTTGTTATTACGCGCTCAGGGGAGGATGGTACTCCTTTCCCACTTACTGATACAGGTTGCACCATTGGCCGCAATCACGACTGTGATATAAGGATTCACTTAACAAGTGTATCACGGCTTCACTGTAAGATTGATGTGGACCCTAGTGGAAAGGTTAGTAACATGTGATTAGTAAATGAAGTTAATGGTATAACTATAGTCATAGATGTAGTGGCCAGCACAGTTGTCATGGTATGAAGGCATTGAGATTATATTCACCCCAAAAGCAGTCATGGCACTCGGAAATAGTAGTCTGTTAGTTGTTTGTCAGAATTAGTGTATACAATGATTATAATCAAAAGGAAGCATTAAACTTACTAGGGTCATACAGAGTAGTATATACAATGAGATTTCCCCACTTATAATTTCTCGCAGTTTTGGGAATGGTGCTGGCTGCTTTTTCTCCACCCTACAAAAATTAGAATATTACAATGAGAAAAACTTTATAAACTGGGATGCTTGAATGTGCGTGGATGTAGTGCAGATGACAAGAAACAGATGATTGCTGATGTTATGAATGAAAAGAAGTTGGATGTCCTGGCCCTAAGCGAAACAAAGCTGAAGGGGGTAGGGGAGTTTCGGTGGGGTGAAATAAATGGGATTAAATCTGGAGTATCTGAGAGTTAGAGCAAAGGAAGGGGTAGCAGTAATGTTGAAGGATCAGTTATGGAAGGAGAAAAGAGAATATGAATGTGTAAATTCAAGAATTATGTGGATTAAAGTAAAGGTTGGATGCGAAAAGTGGGTCATAATAAGTGTGTATGCACATGGAGAAGAGAGGAATGTAGGAGAGAGAGAGAGAGATTTTGGGAGATGTTAAGTGAATGTATAGGAGCCTTTGAACCAAGTGAGAGAGTAATTGTGGTAGGGGATCTGAATGCTAAAGTAGGAGAAACTTTTAGAGAGGGTGTGGTAGGTAAGTTTGGGGTGCCAGATGTAAATGATAATGGGAGCCCTTTGATTGAACTTTGTATAGAAAGGGGTTTAGTTATAGGTAATACATATTTTAAGAAAAAGAGGATAAATAAGTATACAAGATATGATGTAGGGCGAAATGACAGTAGTTTGTTGGATTATGTATTGGTAGATAAAAGACTGTTGAGTAGACTTCAGAATGTACATGTTTATAGAGGGGCCACAGATATATCAGATCACGTTTTAGTTATAGCTACACTGAGAGTAAAAGGTAGATGGGATACAAGGAGAATAGAAGCATCAGGGAAGAGAGAGGTGAAGGTTTATAAACTAAAAGAGGAGGCAGTTAGGGTAAGATACAAACAGCTATTGGAGGATAGATGGGCTAATGAGAGCATAGGCAATGGGGCCAAAGAGGTATTGGGTAGGTTTAAAAATGTAGTGTTAGTGTTCAGCAGAAGTTTGTGGTTACAGGAAAGTGGGTGCGGGAGGGAAGAGGAGCGATTGGTGGAATGATGATATAAAGAGAGTAGTAAGGGAGAAAAAGTTAGCATATGAGAAGTTTTTACAAAGTAGAAGTGATGCAAGGAGGGAAGAGTACATGGTGAAAAAGAGAGAGGTTAAGAGAGTGGTGAAGCAATGTAAAAAGAGAGCAAATGAGAGAGTGGGTGAGATGTTATCAACAAATTTTGTTGAAAATAAGAAAAAGTTTTGGAGTGAGATTAACAAGTTAAGAAAGCCTAGAGAACAAATGGATTTGTCAGTTAAAAATAGGAGAGGAGAGTTATTAAATGGAGAGTTAGAGGTATTGGGAAGATGGAGGGAATATTTTGAGGAATTGTTAAATGTTGATGAAGATAGGGAAGCTGTGATTACGTGTATAGGGCAAGGAGGAATAACATCTTGTAGGAGTGAGGAAGAGCCAGTTGTGAGTGTGGGGGAAGTTCGTGAGGCAGTAGGTAAAATGAAAGGGGGTAAGGCAGCCGGGATTGATGTGATAAGGATAGAAATGTTAAAAGCAGGTGGGGATATAGTTTTGGAGTGGTTGGTGCAATTATTTAATAAATGTATGGAAGAGGTAAGGTACCTAGGGATTGGCAGAGAGCATGCATAGTTCCTTTGTATAAAGGCAAAGGGGACAAAAGAGAGTGCAAAAATTATAGGGGGATAAGTCTGTTGAGTATACCTGGTAAAGTGTATGGTAGAGTTATTAATTGAAAGAATTAAGAGTAAGACGGAGAATAGGATAGCGATGAACAAGGAGGCTTTAGGAAAGGTAGGGGGGGTGTGGACCAGGTGTTTACAGTGAAAACAACAAGTGAACAGTATTTAGATAAGGCTAAAGAGGTCTTTGTGGCATTTATGGATTTGGAAAAGGCGTATGACAGGGTGGATAGGGAGGCAATGTGGCAGATGTTGCAAGTGTATGGTGTAGGAGGTAGGTTACTGAAAGCAGTGAAGAGTTTTTACGAGGATAGTGAGGCTCAAGTTAGAGTATGTAGGAAAGAGGGAGATTATTTCCCAGTAAAAGTAGGCCTTAGACAAGGATGTGTGATATCACCGTGGTTGTTTAATATATTTATAGATGGGGTTGTAAGAGAAGTAAATGCGAAGGTCTTGGCAAGAGGCGTGGAGTTAAAAGATAAAGAAGCACACAAAGTGGGAGTTGTCACAGTTGCTCTTTGCTGATGACACTGTGCTCTTGGGAGATTCTGAAGAGAAGTTGCAGAGATTGGTGGATGAATTTGGTAGGGTGTGCAAAAGAAGAAAATTAAAAATGAGTACAGGAAAGAGTAAGGTTATGAGGATAAAAAGATTAGGTGATGAAAGATTGGATATCAGATTGGAGGGAGAGCGTATGGAGGAGGTGAATATATTCATATATTTTCGAGTGGACGTGTCAGCGGATGGGTCTATGAAAGATGAGGTGAATCATAGAATTGATAAGGGGAAAAGGGTGAGTGGTGCACTTGGGAGTCTGTGGAGACAAAGAACTTTGTCCTTGGAGGCAAAGATTGGAATGTTTGCGAGTATAGTTTTACCAACGCTCTTATATGGATGTAAAGCATGGGTGATGAATGTTGCAGCGAGGAGAAGGCTGGAGGCAGTGGAGATGTCATGTCTGAGGGCAATGTGTGGTGTGAATATAATGCAGAGAATTTGTAGTTTGGAAGTTAGGAGGTGCAGGATTACCAAAACTGTTGTCCAGAGGGCTGAGGAAGGGTTGTTGAGGTGGTTCGGACGTTTGGAGAGAATGGAGCGAAACAGAGTGACTTCAAGAGTGTATCAGTCTGTAGTGGAAGGAAGGCGGGGTAGGGGTCGGCCTAGGAAAGGTTGGAGGGAGGGGGTAAAGGAGGTTTTGTGTGTGAGGAGCTTGGACTTCCAGCAGGTGTGCGTGAGCGTGTTTGGTAGGAGTGAATGGAGACGAATGGTTTTTAATACTTGACGTGCTGTTGGAGTGTGAGCAAAGTAACATTTATGAAGGGGTTCAGGGAAACCGGCAGGCCGGACTTGAGTCCTGGAGATGGGAAGTACAGTGCCTGCACTCTGAAGGAGGGGTGTTAATGTTGCAGTTTAAAAACTGTAGTGTAAAGCACCCTTCTGGCAAGACAGTGATGGAGTGAATGATGGTGAAAGTTTTTCTTTTTTGGGCCACCCTGCCTTGGTGGGAATTGGCCAGTGTGATAATAAATAAATAAATTTAAATGTAATTTATTCAAGTTATGTTAAGTCTTTGGAGATTACCTAGAGACACTTTTGTGGGTTAGCACAAATTTCTCTTGCATGCTGATATTAAGCTTTATTTGACATTTTTCTTGTGATTTAATACATACTATCTTGTCTGCATTAGACACTTTTGTTCAAGCTTGTAGCTACTCTTAGAAATAATTTCCTGCAACTTGACAGGAAAATTTTATGTGGCCATACTGTTAGCAATGCCACTTTTCCCTCTGACTATGGCCATTCTTTTCAATGTCACATTTTGACTTATTGCACAAGCTTTTGTTTTTGCCTCTGCCTCTAATTCTCTTAACACCAAGTGCATGTGCCGTCTCCATGACATGTGCACCACTCTTCGGTATATCTAATAACTTTGGGCATTTTTTTTTTTTTAGGCATTTAAAACTAAATTTCATCTTGGCACCTTATTCAACAGTATTCCTTATAGCTGCCTTAGTTAATATGCAGAGATGAAGTGATAAAACAGGGTGGTATGGGATATGCCTGGACAGCAACTAATTGCATGTGAGTGTGTTAACATCAAAGATTAAACCTTGTTGAAGCTTTGCCTTTTCCTAAAAGGAATCTCCCTGGGTGTGGAGGAAAAATCTCTCACTGCATGAATGTCTCTCTTTCTCTCTCTTTCTCCTCCTCTTTCTCTCACTCTTTCTCTGCTCTCTTTCTCTCTCTTTCTCTCTCTTTCCTCTCTTCTCTTCTTCTTTCTCTTTTCTCTCACTTTTCTCTCTCTTTCTCTCTCTCTCTCTCTTTCCTCATCTCTTCTCACTCTTTCTCCTCTTTCTCTTTCTCTCTCTTTCTCACTCTTCCTCTCTCTCCTCTCTCTCCTCTCTTTTTCTCTCTCTCTCTCTCTTTTTCTTTTCCTCTCTCTTTCTCTCTTTCTCTTTTTCTTCTCTTTTTCCCTCCTTTTCTCTTCTCTTTTCTCCTCTCCTCTTTCTCCCCTCTTTTCTCTCTTTCTCTCCTTTCTCTCCTCTTTCTCTCTCTTTCTCTCTCTTCTCTCCATCTCTTTCTCTTCTCTTTCTCTCCTCTTTCTCTCTCTCTCTTTCCTCCTCCTCATTTCTCTCTCTTTTCTCTCTCTCTCTCTTTCTCTCTCTCTCTTTCTCTTTCTCCTTCTCTTTCTCTCTCTTTCTCTCTCTTTCTCTCTCTCTCTTTCACTCTCTCTCTCTTCTTCTCATCTTCTCTTTCCTCTCTCTTTCTCTCTCCTCATTTCTCTCTCTTCTTCTCTCTTTCTCTCGCTCTTTCTCTTTCTCTCTCTCTCTTTCTCCCTTTCCTCTTTCTCTATCTCTTTCTCTTCTCTCTCTCTTTTCTCTCTCTTCTCTCTCCTCTCTTTTCCTCTTCTCTCTCTCTCTCTCTCTCTCTCTCCTCTCCCTCTCTCCTCTCTCTCTCTCTCTCTCTCTCTTCTCCCTTTTCTCTCTCTCTCTCTCTCTCTCTCTCTTTTTTTTTTTTTTTTTTTTTTACACAGGGTTTGACAAGGTTAAGGATCCCTAGCTTTATTGACAGTTATTTACAGGTTAAGGATTCCTAACTTTATTGGCAAGCTAAGAGCTGTTACCTACATCAGCTCATTTGAAAGCATTTTTATTGTTATGAGACATACAAGTAGGGAACAGGATGAAGTTGGAGCCATCTGTGGGCCAGCATTGTCATTTGATCAACTGACTTTATCTCGTTGACATCATTATGCTGTACGAATGTGTTCCATACTCGAGTCATCCTGGGTATGTATGATCTCAGATGGAGTGATGTTCTGGAGAAGGGTACAGCCAGAGTGAAGTTGCTGCTTTCTGCCCGTCTTGTGGCATAAAAGCTTGTTTCACGCTGTCCTCGAAGTGGATCCAAGTGTGGTATTTTGACAATATTGGCCTTGTACATAACGGTAAGGCCACCCACATCCCTCCTATGTTGAAGGCTCTGCTGAAATGACAAATCTATCCAGGATGCGTCTAGGCGAGAGATGAGACGTCTTGCTCTGTTCTCTACTCAGTCAAGCAGTCGCAGATGAGAGGGGGGGGGGCAGGCAAACCAAGAAAGTGGAGCATACTCAAGGTGTGAGCATACTTGTGCCTCGTACAGGATCTTGCAACCCCTATTGTCAAGCAGATGCGAGATACTGCGAAGTGCTGTAAGCTTCCTGGCTACCTTGTTTGCAAGATTTACAACATGGTTCTTCATGGTTTGGAGTCAAATTTCACCCCAAGGATATCAACTTCTTCTCCAGGTGCCAACACCCTCCCATTCATCCTTACTACTGCACCAACATTACCATCATGGTGCCTAGAGCCGATCATCATTTGCGTTTTCTCAGGTGCAAATGTTACTTGCCATCTATTTTCCCCAAGCTGATATAGCTCTCAGCTGGTGATTGATGTAGCTTAGAGCAGCTGGCATTTCTTCTCTTGGATAAAGTGAATGTCAGTGTTCAGTCCGTCTGCATATGCATGTGATTCTGGATGAGATGAAGAAGGTCGTTTGAAGTAGACATTCCATAACAATGGACCCAGCACGCTTCCTTGTGGAACACTTGCCCCAATAGGATGTCTTGCTGGATTCCGTTCCATTGAGAACTACACTTAGAGATCTACCATGAAGGTAATCACTGAGGAACATAGCATAGAGCCTGCAATTCCCAGTGCTTGAAGTTTTGCTAAGAGGCCCTGGTGCCACACCCGGTGAAAAGCACCAGCAATGTCCAGTGCTACCACACAGCTGACTTTGGATTCATCCAGTGACTGGTGCCACTTAGTGGAGAGGTTTAACAACAGATCAGCAGCAGAGTAACCTTTCCTGAAGCCATATTGACGATCACAAAGTAGTGAGTGGTAGTCAAAAAACTGTCATTTATCTTGAGATTATTGTCTCAAGGATCTTACCAGTGATTGACAGAAGTGACACTGGTCTGTAGTTGCTGGTTTCTGCTCTGCTCTTCTTTTTGTGAACAGGGACTACATTTGCCTCTTTCCACAGAGAGGGTCATTTACACTGTATTAGGCAGTGCTGAAAGATGCGAGTTAGAGGTGCTGCTAGCTGGTCTGCACATATATATATGCTCAATCTTCAACTTGTCTGGGTTTTTTTTTTTTTTTTTTTAACTATTTATCATTTCTAGTATGTTTTTAAATATTTATACAGTAGTGTACTGTATACTGTAATAAACAGAATAGAGGAAATCAGCTCTAATATACATTATTTTGGTTTGCATACTGGTTGGAGAGCTGATCATAAGTCCGAGTGGTCGGTAAACAAGTACATATGTCTCTAAGTGCGGAGAATCTGTACTGTATTGTAGCATGGATTTATAGGATTCTAGCCCCTGAGTCCCTTACTTAGATTATTATTGTTTTGTATATACCAATAAACCCCTGGCGGACTTCAAGAGGGAACCGGATAGATGCCTAAAGTTAGTACCCAATCAGCTGTGGTTCTTACATTGGACTACATGCAGCCAGCAGTAATAGCTTGGTTGGTCAGGCCCTGATCAGTGGGAGGCCTGGTCAAGGACTGGGCTTTGGGAATGTTGGCGCCTGGAACACCCTCCAGGTAGGCCTATCGTGTGTGTGTGTTTCTGAGGGTCAATTTCCCCATGTCCCAGTCCCAGACCAGGCCTCCCAGTAAATGGCCTGAATAACCAGGCTGTTGGTGCTAGCTGCATGAAGTTCAACATATGCACAGTCTGGCTGTAGTGCATACTTTGGACATAAGGGATTTGCCCAATTCTCTATTGAAGACAGCCAGGGGTCTGTTGGTAATAATTCCCTTTGTGTATGAATGGGGGGCTATTGAAAAGTCTTGGTCCTGTCATACTTAGTTTTCCTATAGTATGCTTATTGCCACTCTGCTTTTTATTGGGGGTACTTGGCACTGTCTGCTGAGCACTTGGCACTGTCTGCTGAGCCTCTTGCTTTCAAAAGGAATGATTTGTTTGTGCAGATTGGTGACCAATTCCTCTTAGAATTTTCTTGGTGTAGATTAAAGCGTTGAAGTTGGTAATGCATAATTTAAGGTACCAGTGTAATGGTATATAATAAACACTTGTTATAGGTCACTATGACATGCCTCTAAAATAGTGGGGAGAATCCACTAAATAAATTGTACTTTTAACTTGTTTATTTTCAACATTTATTGCATTATCTTTAAATTGTGTACAACATTTGACTCCGACTCCTTTATTTATGGCACCTCCACCTCCTTTAATTACATTTTACCGACTCCATAGCCTTGCATATTAGGCCATTATATCATGGGTTAACTGCATTTGCTAAATTTGTTTTCATGATAAATACATTAATGAATCTTTTACCTGAGTGAAGAATTCTGTGTGCTTGATAGGTAGGTTTTGTATTTTTAATTTAGGCCCTTCCATTACTTTGTAGTAAGTAAATTTTTCATCAAGTCAAAATATTCTTTCATTTCATTATTTTCAGGCATACTTGACAAATCTTTCACAAGTAAACCCAACTCTTTTAAATGGTTCTCCCATGGCCACACAAGAAATTAATATTTTGGAACACAAAGATATCATCACTGTACATGAGCGAGAGTTTCGATGGGAATACCCTGAAGATTCAAGTCTCGTTCATTCCCAAGTAAAAGACCACTTGACAGGTTACAAGATACTGTCACCCACTACTAAATCTCCAATAAGTCGTCATAATCTAAGTGGTGGTAAGTGTAATATTTACTGTTAGTATTGGTGAATTGTTTTTGTTAATGATTACAAACGTACCTCGCTAATATGGTGCTTTCCAATTGTATACGTATTCATGTTTGTTTTCAGCAGTGATGCGCACATCAGTTGACTGACTCCATTTTGTTACCCTCGCACAGTCTGTCTACAGTATTTGCGCACTTCATGTAACATTGTTGTATTCTGTCAATTTAAAAAAAAATCACTATTGTGTTATTGTAATTGTTAATTATAGTACGATGACCCCTAAGTTTAATGCTAGTGAAAAGAAGTCACAAGCTTCTTACTTTTGACCAAAAGATAAGAATGATCAAGCTTAGTGAGGAAGGCACGTCGAACACCAAGATAGGCTGCAAGCTAGGATTGGTGCACGATTTTTTTTTTTTTTTTTTTTTCCCTAGTACTATTGCACACTCAAATGATAGTGTAAGTGTGTTTTTAGGCTTTTGTATGCTCTGGGAAGTGAGATAAAAAGGCTATGATTCGCTTTAAGGCAGTGGCCCGGATCCTAACTCACCATATTAACGAGGTATGCCTGTAGTATATAGATTTTGGTTAGAAATTAATACAATTTGATGTAAAAAAATAATTAAACAATTGCAGAGTGTACAGGATTGAAACGCAGAAGCTGTGAGGAAGATTTTCAAGAGTGTTCAGATGCAAAAAGGAAGAAAGTTTCTTTTGGCCCACATCTTCATCCAGAGCATTTTGATAAACTATTACCTCCTGACACGCCAGTCAGTAAAGGGGAGAAACCCAACACACGGATCTTGTTGGATACCTCGGATAGTTCTCGGACAGTTGCACGCAAATCCAAACGCGTATCTGTTCCTCCGCTTAATATCTCAAGTGCGGAAGAATGTGGCATGGATACTCCAACAAAATCTTTATTACGAAGGCGTAGCCCCACACCAGTGAAACCATATATAGCTCGTAGTCTTGGCCTTCTCGTTTCAAAGGCAATGAATGATGAGTCCTCAAATTTGCCAGACTCCAAGGATGATTCTCCAAAGCAAAAAGTAAGTCCAAATCCAAAAATGTTAAAAAGTCCAGCCATTGATTCTAGACCAGGCATTCATACTTCACCTAAAAGGTCAACTGAAAAATCAAGTAGTACAAGCCCTAAGTTAACATCACCTAAAGTTCATCAGACTAGTGTGAATTCAACTCGGAACTCTTTAACATCCACGGCAAAGGTAATAAGTCATGATTTATCTCCAAAGACACTGAAAATGTCCAGTGAGCAGTCTTCTGAGTGTGAAATAATATACAAACTTGAAAATCTTACAACTCCCAAAGGATCCATGAGAAATTCACTTAGAAAATTGGGTGCATTCAGTAGTCCCAGGAGGGTAACATCCGAGTCCCCTCGGGCCACCCCCAAGAGGTCCGAGTCTCCCCGGGCCACCCCCAAGAGGTCCGAGTCCCCCCGGGCCACCCCCAAGAGGTCCGAGTCCCCCCGGGCCACCCCCAAGAGGTCCGAGTCCCCCCGGGCCACCCCCAAGAGGTCCGAGTCCCCCCGGGCCACCCCCAAGAGGTCCGAGTCCCCCCGGGCCACCCCCAAGAGGTCCGAGTCCCCCCGGGCCACCCCCAAGAGGTCCGAGTCCCCCGGGCCACCCCCAAGAGGTCCGAGTCCCCCCGGGCCACCCCCAAGAGGTCCGAGTCCCCCCGGGCCACCCCCAAGAGGTCCGAGTCCCCCCGGGCCACCCCCAAGAGGTCCGAGTCCCCCCGGGCCACCCCCAAGAGGTCCGAGTCCCCCCGGGCCACCCCCAAGAGGTCCGAGTCCCCCCGGGCCACCCCCAAGAGGTCCGAGTCCCCCCGGGCCACCCCCAAGAGGTCCGAGTCCCCCCGGGCCACCCCCAAGAGGTCCGAGTCCCCCCGGGCCACCCCCAAGAGGTCCGAGTCCCCCCGGGCCACCCCCAAGAGGTCCGAGTCCCCCCGGGCCACCCCCAAGAGGTCCGAGTCCCCCCGGGCCACCCCCAAGAGGTCCGAGTCCCCCCGGGCCACCCCCAAGAGGTCCGAGTCCCCCCGGGCCACCCCCAAGAGGTCCGAGTCCCCCCGGGCCACCCCCAAGAGGTCCGAGTCCCCCCGGGCCACCCCCAAGAGGTCCGAGTCCCCCCGGGCCACCCCCAAGAGGTCCGAGTCCCCCCGGGCCACCCCCAAGAGGTCCGAGTCCCCCCGGGCCACCCCCAAGAGGTCCGAGTCCCCCGGGCCACCCCCAAGAGGTCCGAGTCCCCCCGGGCCACCCCCAAGAGGTCCGAGTCCCCCCGGGCCACCCCCAAGAGGTCCGAGTCCCCCCGGGCACCCCCAAGAGGTCCGAGTCCCCCCGGGCCACCCCCAAGAGGTCCGAGTCCCCCCGGGCCACCCCCAAGAGGTCCGAGTCCCCCCGGGCCACCCCCAAGAGGTCCGAGTCCCCCCGGGCCACCCCCAAGAGGTCCGAGTCCCCCCGGGCCACCCCCAAGAGGTCCGAGTCCCCCCGGGCCACCCCCAAGAGGTCCGAGTCCCCCCGGGCCACCCCCAAGAGGTCCGAGTCCCCCCGGGCCACCCCAAGAGGTCCGAGTCCCCCCGGGCCACCCCCAAGAGGTCCGAGTCCCCCGGGCCACCCCCAAGAGGTCCGAGTCCCCCCGGGCCACCCCCAAGAGGTCCGAGTCCCCCCGGCCACCCCCAAGAGGTCCGAGTCCCCCGGGCCACCCCCAAGAGGTCCGAGTCCCCCCGGGCCACCCCCAAGAGGTCGAGTCCCCCCGGGCCACCCCCAAGGGGGCGTCATCCCCCGGGCCACCCCCAAGGGGGCGTCATCTCCCACGGGCCACCCCCAAGGGGCGTCATCCCCTAGGGCCACCCCCAAGGGGGACGTCATCCCCTAGGGCCACCCCCAAGGGGACTCATCCCCTAGGGCCACCCCCAAGGGACATCATCCTAGGGCCACCCCCAAGGGGACATCATCCCCTAGGGCCACCCCCAAGGGGACATCATCCCCTAGGGCCACCCCCAAGGGACATCATCCCCTAGGGCCACCCCCAAGGGGACATCATCCCCTAGGGCCACCCCCAAGGGGACTCATCCCCTAGGGCCACCCCCAAGGGGACATCATCCCCTAGGGCCACCCCCAAGGGGACATCATCCCCTAGGGCCACCCCCAAGGGGACATCATCCCCTAGGGCCACCCCCAAGGGGACATCATCCCCTAGGGCCACCCCCAAGGGGACATCATCCCCTAGGGCCACCCCCAAGGGGACATCATCCCCCAGGGCAACTCCTAGAAAGGCACAGTCTTATGATGCTAAGAAATATTCATCCCCTAAAGCTTCCCATGAAGAACTAGATTCTTCTAAAAGTCCCCCTAGAAAAAATAAATCTCCTATTTGTAAAAAAGTCGTATCATCCAAAGCTGCTGATCTGAAATTAGTATCACCTAGAACTCCTCCCAGTAGGGTAGCATCTAAAATTACTCCTAAGAAAGCGTTGCCCATGGTAGCCCAGGAAAAAAATTTTAATGGTTCTCCCAAGAATATGGCATTGCCAAAGTCGCCTTCATACCCTATAACGAAACATACATCTTCAGAGGACGTTTTGCCCAGTTTGTCTCCCAAGAAACATGGGCTTGCCAGAAAAGTAGCATCACCTGTGATGTCTCTTAGAAAGAAATCTTTTGCATCCTCTCCCAAGAAGTTGGCATCACCCCCATCCTCTCCCAAGAAGTTGGCATCACCCCCATCCTCTCCCAAGAAGTTGGCATCACCCCCATCCTCTCCCAAGAAGTTGGCATCACCCTCATCCTCTCCCAAGAAGTTGGCATCACCCCCATCCTCTCCCAAGAAGTTGACATCACCCTCATCCTCTCCCAAGAAGTTGGCATCACCCCCATCCTCTCCCAAGAAGTTGGCATCACCCTCATCCTCTCCCAAGAAGGGCTCACCATCTAGGATAATTCTACGGAGATTCTTACAAAGAAGTGCACGGCGGAAGGTGACATCCCTTAAGCAGAGTCCTACAGAAACTCGGGAAAGTTCTTTGCCCAAGTCTCCACGGGGTAAGAAGAGAAAGGCAAGCTTAACTCCACCACCTCGTATATCCAAAAAGCTTAAAGCAGGAGCTTCAGCAAAGTCAGGTAAGGATTAAATTTAATTTTCAGGGATTAGGGTTTAATAAATGACATAAATTTCCTGCTGAATGCCCAGGCACTACCTCAAACCCTCCTGACCGTGGTTCTCTCTCTCTCTCTCTCTCTCTCTCTCTCTTCTCTCTCTCTCTCTCTCTCTCTCTCCTCTCCTCTCTCTTCTCTCTCTCTCTCCTCTCTCTCTTCTCTCTCTCTCTCTCTCTCTTCTCTCCTCTCTCTCTCTCTCTCATCTCCTCTCTCTCTCTCTCTCTCTCTCTCTCTCTCATCCTCTCCTCTCCTCTCTACTCTCTCTCTCTTTCTCTCTCTCTCTCTTCTCTTCTCTTCTCTCTTCTCTTTCTCTCTCTCCTCTCTCATCTCTCCACTCTCTCTCTCTCTCACTCTCTCTCTTCTCCTCTTTTCACTCTCTCTACTCCTCTTCTCTCTCTCTCTCTCTTTTCTCTCTCTCTCTCTCCTCTTTCTCTCTCTCTCTTCCCCTTTCTCTTCTCTTCTCCTCCCTTTCTCTTCTCCTCTCTCCTCTTTCTCTTCTCTCTCTCTACTCTCCCTTCTTCTCTCTTCTCTCTGTCTTCTCTCTCTCTCTCTCATCTCTCTCTCTCTCTCTTCTCTCTTCTCTCTCTCTCTCTCACTCCTCTCTCTCTTCTCTTCTCTCTCTTCTCTTCTCATCTCCTCCTTCTCTCTCTTCATCTCTCTTTCTCTCTCCTCTCTCTCTTTTCCTTCTCCCTCTCCTCTCTCTCTCTCCTCTCTCTCTCTCTTCTCTTCTCTCTTCTCTTTCTCTCTCTCTCTCCTCTTTCTCTCTTCTCTCTCCTCTCTCTTTCTCTCTTCTCTCTCTCTTCTCTCTCTCTTCTCTCTCTCTCTCTCTTCTCTCTCCCTCTCTTCTCTCTCTCTTCTCTCTCTTCTCTCTCTCTCTCTTCTCTCTCCTCTCCTCTCTCTCTCCTCTCTCCACGTCTCTCCTCCCTCTCTCTCCCTTCTCTTCTCTCTCTTCCATCCTCTTCCTCATCTCCTCTGTCTCCTCTCTCTCCTCCTCTCCTCTCTCTATCCTCTCTCTTTTCTCTCCCTTTTTCTCTCTCTCTTTTTCTCTCTTCTCTCTCTCTCTACTCTTTTATCTTACTTCTTTCTTCTCTCTCTTCTTGCTCTCTCTCCTCTCTCTCTTTTCTCTCATCTCTCTCCTTCTATTTTCTCTCTTTAGTCTCTCTTTCTCTTTCTCTCTCTTCTCTTTCCTCTCTCATCTCCTCTCTTCTTCTTCTTTTCTCGTCTCCTCCTTTTTTCCTTCTCTCTTTTCTCTCTTCTTATTCTTTCTTTTCTCTCCTCTTCCTCTTCTTTTCTCTTCCCTCCTTATCCTTCTTTTTTATCTTCATTCTCTCTTCTTCCTCTCATCTCTCTCTTCTTCCTCTTCTCTTTTTTCTCTTTTCTCTCTTCTCTCATTTTTTTTTTTTTTTTTTTTTTTTTTTTTTTTACACAGGGTTTGACAAGGTTAAGGATCCCTAGCTTTATTGACAACCTATTTACAGGTTAAGGATTCCCAACTTTATTGGCAAGCTAAGAGCTGTTATCTACATCAGCTCATTTGAAAGCACTTTTATTGTTATGAGACATACAAGTAGGGAACAGGATGAAATTGGAGCCATCTGTGGGCCAGCATTTTCATTTGATCAACTTACTTTATCTCGTTGACATCATTATGCTGCACGAATGTGTTCCATACTCGAGTCATCCTGGGTATATATGATCTCAGATGGAGTGATGTTCTGGAGAAGGGTACAGCCAGAGTGAAGTTGCTGCTTTCTGCCCGTCTTGTGGCATAAAAGCTTGTTCCACGCTGTCCTCGAAGTGGATCCAAGTGTGGTACTTTGACAATATTGGCCTTGTACATAACAGTAAGGCCACCCACATTCCTCCTGTGTTGAAGGCTCTGCTGAAATGACAGATCTATCCAGGATGGGTCCAGGCTAGAGATGAGACGTCTTGCTCTGTTCTCCAGATGAGAGCGGGGGGCAGGCAAACCAAGAAAGTGGGGCATACTCAAGGTGTGAGCGTACTTGTGCCTCGTACAGAATCTTGCAACCCCTACTGTCAAGCAGATGTGAGATACGGCGAAGTGCTGTAAGCTTCCTGGCTGCCTTGTTTGCAAGATTTACAACATGGTTCTTCATGGTTAGTTTGGAGTCAAATTTCACCCCAAGGATATCAACTTCTTCTCCAGGTGCCAACACCCTCCCATTCATCCTTACTACTGCACCAGCATTACCATCATGGTGCCTAAAGACGATCATCATTTGCGTTTTCTCAGGTGCAAGTGTTACTTGCCATCAATTTCCCCAAGCTGATATAGCTCTTAGCTGGTGATTGATGTAGCTTAGAGCAGCTGGCATTTCTTCTCTTGGATAAGTGAATGTCAGTGTACAGTCGTCTGCATATGCATGTGATTCTGGGATGAGATGAAGGTCGTTGAAGTAGACATTCCATAACAATGGTCCCAGCACGCTTCCTTGTGGAACACTTGCCCCAATAGGATGTCTTGCTGATTCCGTTCCATTGAGAACTACACTTAGAGATCTACCATGAAGATAATCACTGAGGAGATGTAGCGTAGAGCCTGCAATTCCCAGTGCTTGAAGTTTTGCTAAGAGGCCCTGGTGCCACACCCGGTCGAAAGCGCCAGCAATGTCCAGTGCTACCACACAGCTGACTTTGGATTCATCCAGTGACTGGTGCCACTTAGTGGAGTGGTTTAACAACAGATCAGCAGCAGAGTAACCTTTCCTGAAGACATATTAATGATCACAAAGTAGTGAGTGGTAGTCAAAAAACTCTGTCATTTGTCTTGAGATTGTCTCAAGGATCTTACCAGTGATTGACACTGGTCTGTAGTTGCTGATTTCTGCTCTGCTCTTGTTTTTGTGAACAGGGACTACATTTGCCTCTTTCCATAGAGAGGGCCATTTACACTGTACAAGGCAGTGCTGAAAGATGCGAGTCAGAGGTGCTGCTAGCTGGTCTGCGCATCTTCTCAGCAATCTTGGGCTCAACTTGTCTGGGCCCAGAGCCTTTTCTTGGTCAAGCAATTTAAGAAGGAAATGCACCTCCTCCTGCCTTATTGTCACCACTGACAGTTTTGACACAGTTCTTGCAGCTAGCCAAGGAGGGTCCCTTGCTGGATGAGGGACTTGCATTTTGGTAGCAAAGAGGTCCGCCTTCTCTTGACTACTAGTAGAGGTGGTCCCATCCTGTCGATTTAGAGGTGGAATGAGTTCATCAGGCAGATAACCTTGTCTGTCCTTGACCAGGGACCACCAGGTTTTGGAGCTTACCCTACCTGATGCTAGCGCTCTTTTAGTGTCCACCTCACATTTAGCAATGGCCTGCCCCCCCTCTCCTCTCTCTCTCTCTCTCTCTCTCTCTCTCTCTCTCTCTCTTTCTCTTTCTCTCTTTCTCTTTTTTTTTTTACACAGGGTTTGACAAGGTTAAGGATCCCTAGCTTTATTGACAAGCTATTTACAGGTTAAGGATTCCTAACTTTAATGGCAAGCTAAGAGCTGTTACCTACATCAGCTCATTTGAAAGCATTTTTATTGTTATGAGACATACAAATAGGGAACAGGATGAAGTTGGAGCCATGTGTGGGCCAGCTTTTTCATTTGATCAACTGACTTTATCTCATTGACATCATTATGCTGTACAAATGTGTTCCATACTCGAGTCATCCTGGGTTTATAGGATCTCAGATGGAGTGATGTTCTGGAGAAGGGTACAGCCAGAGTGAAGTTGCTGCTTTCTGCCCGTCTTGTGGCATAAAAGCTTGTTTCACGCTGTCCTCGAAGCGGATCCAAGTGTGGTACTTTGACAATATTGGCCTTGTACATAACAGTAAGGCCACCCACATCCCTCCTATGTTGAAGGCTCTGCTGAAATGACAGATCTATCCAGGATGGGTCCAGGCGAGAGATGGAGTCTTGCTCTGTTCTCTACTCTGTCAAGCAGTCGCAGATGAGAGGGGGGGCAGGCAAACCAAGAAAGTGGAGCATACTCAAGGTGTGAGCGTGCTTGTGCCTCGTACAGGATCTTGCAACCCCAAACTGTCAAGCAGATGGGGGGATACGGCTAAGTGCTGTAAGCTTCCTGGCTGCCTTGTTTGCAAGATTTACAACATTGTTCTTCATGGTTAGTTTGGAGTCAAATTTCACCCCAAGGATATCAACCTCTTCTCCAGGTGCCAACACCCTCCCATTCATCCTTACTACTGCACCAGCATTACCATCATGGTGCCTAGAGACGATCATCATTTGCGTTTTCTCAGGTGCAAATGTTACTTGCCATCTATTTCCCCAAGCTGATATAGCTCTCAGCTGGTGATTGATGTAGCTTAGAGCAGCTGGCATTCTTCTCTTGGATAAGTGAATGTCAGTGTACAGTCGTCTGCATATGCATGTGATTCTGGAATGAGATGAAGAAGGCCGTTGAAGTAGACATTCCATAACAATGGACCCAGCATGCTTCCTTGTGGAACACTTGCCCCAATAGGATGTCTTGCTGATTCCGTTCCATTGAGAACTACACTTAGAGATCTACCATGAAGGTAATCACTGAGGAGACATAGCGTAGAGCCTGCAATTCCCAGTGCTTGAAGTTTTGCGAAGAGGCCCTGGTGCCACACCCGGTCGAAAGCGCCAGCAATGTCCAGTGCTACCACACAGCTGACTTTGGATTCATCCAGTGACTGGTGCCACTTAGTGGAGAGGTTTAACAACAGATCAGCAGCAGTAACCTTTCCTGAAGCCATATTGACGATCACAAAGTAGTGAGTGGTAGTCAAAAAACTCTGTCATTTGTCTTGAGATTATTGTCTCAAGGATCTTACCAGTGATTGACAGGAGTGACACTGGTCTGTAGTTGCTGATTTCTGCTCTGCTCTTCTTTTTGTAAACAGGGAGTACATTTGCCTCTTTCCATAGAGAGGGCCATTTACACTGTACTAGGCAGTGCTGAAAGATGCGAGTTAGAGGTGCTGCTAGCTGGTCTGCACATCTTCTCAACAATCTTGGGCTCAACTTGTCTGGGCCCAGAACCTTTTCTTGGTCAAGCGATTTAAGAAGGAAATGCACCTCATCCTGCTTTATTGTCACCACTGACAGTTTTGACACAGTTCTTGCAGCTAGCCATGGAGGGTCCCTTGCTGGATCAGGAACTTGCATTTTGGTAGCAAAGTGTTCAGCAAAGAGGTCCGCCTTCTCTTGACTACTAGTAGAGGTAGTCCCATCCTGTCGATTTAGAGGTGGAATAAGTTCATCAGGCAGATAACCTTGTCTGTCCTTGACCAGGGACCACCAGGTTTTGAAGCCTACCCTTCCTGATGCTAGCTTTCTTTTAGTGTCCACCTCCCATTTAGCAATGGCCCACTTTTGAACATCACCCATATGCCTACAGGCTTGCGTGTGCAAGTTCCTCTCTCTCTCTCTCTCTCTCTCTCTCTCTACTCTCTCTCCTCTCCCTCTCTTCTCTCTCTCTCTCTCTCTCCACTCTCTCCTCTCTCTCTCCTCTCTCTCTCCTTCTCTGTCCTTGTCTGTCTGCTCTCTCTCTCTCTCTTCTCTCTCTGTCTCTCTCTCTCTCTCTCCTCTCTCTCTCTGTCTCTCTCTCTCTCTCTCTCTCTCCTCTCTCTGTCTCTTCTCTCTCTGTCTCTCTCTCTTCTCTCTCTCTCTTCTTCTCTCTCTCTCTCTCTCTCTCTCTCTCTCTCTGTCTCTCTCTCTCTCTCTCTCTCTCTCTGTCTCTCTCTCTCTTCTCTTCTCTCTCTCTCTCTCTCTTCTGTCTCTTCTCTCTCTCTCTCTCTTTTCTCTTCTCTTCTCTCTCTCTCTCTCTCTCTCTCTTCTCTCTCTTCTCTCTTTCTCTCCTCTCTCTTCTCTCTCTCTCTCTCCTCTCTTTCTCTCTCTTTTCTCTTCTCTTTCTTCTCTTCTCTTTCTTTCTCTCTCTCTCTTCTTTTTCTCTTTCTCCTCTCTCTTCTCTCTTTCTTTTCTTTCTCTCTTTCTTCTCTTCTCTTTTTCTTTCTCTTTCTCTTTTCTCTTTCCATTCTTTCTTTCTTTCTTTGTTTTTTTTTTTTTTTTTTTTTTTACACGGTTTGACAAGGTTAAGGATACTCTTCATGTGGCTTGCCCAAATTCATTCACTTTGGCCATTCTATTTTACTCCAGCTTTTCTAAATAGCAGAAAAAAACTAGGTGACCCCTCTGCTGCTGCTTGAAATATACCTTTCATGGTGCTGCACTCCTCTTCTCTTTTCTCTCTTCTCTATCTCTCTCCCCCTCTGTGCTTCTAGGCTCCTCACTGCAACATTCAAGGTCTATACCTCACAATTATGAAAGTGGTAATTACTAATATGGTCTTTGAGTGTAAGTACATGTGTATCCCATCTCTCAAGTAGGAAAGCTCTCAAAAGCCACCAAAGAGCATAATGGTGACAGCATTTTCACATGGGTAAACAGCACTACCCCAAATGTTGCAGGGAGGAGACTGAAAGCAATAGAGTTGTCATGATTGATTTAAGCTTAAAACACATTTTCCTATCAAACCTTGGCTTAAATTATAAATTAAATTAGTATATTTTGACTAGAGAACAAAAAGGCACAGTACCACAACTGGAATAGTGCACATAGCAGAAAGAAACTCGGGGTTGAAGTCAGACTGAAACCTCGCCGTAAGTTTTTCTTCTATGTGAAGGTTATTTTGTGTATTTTGACTAAATCATTACAAGATAGAGTAATAAAAATAGCATTGAATAATTAGATGAGTAAATATTAGAATTAATTTTCCAATTTATCAGACTGTTTAGTTTGGTTTTGAAATAGTGAAACCTCGGTAACAGACCAATAAGGGGTAAGGGGAATCCATAAATGCCTAGTGTCCATTTATTCCAAATGATGATATTTATTTTTTTAATAGCTGTAACAATGATAATCCTGGATTTAACAGAATGTCCATTAATTCAAAATGAATTTAGCCAGTAGTACAGTAATTTGTTCAGCTACCAACACTTTATGGTTCAGTCCTTGGACCCATTATATACCTCTAATTCTTTGATTACCACCCACAGGATAAGTATGGGATGCATAATAAAGATTTTAAACTTAACTGGTAGACAGTAATATGGACTGTCTAACCACAGATTTTGTCCATTAAATTCAAAATCCCTTTAACTTGAGATTTTATTGTAGCACCTCGGTACTTGAACAGCTCCCTACTCAAACAATTCAGTATTCGAATTCTTTGTTCAGTAAAAAAAAAAAAACTCGATAGTCAGTCGTTTGCTCAGCACTCGGCCAAACAAACTTGACCTGCCAGAACTTCACTGTAAACTATTTCGTGTTTCTTCACATTTTTTTTTTTATTGTATAAATAAGTCACCATGTGGCCTAAGAAGATTAGCAATAACAGCCAACCAAAAAGAAAATTGGTTGGGAAAAAATCTTCCAGTACTCAAACAGATCGGCACACAAACAGCCTTCTGGAACTAATTAAGTTCAAGTAACAAGGTACTACTGTATATGTAAGAATTCAATGTTGATGGTTTTGCTTGTTTAAATTTCTTTTAAAGATTAAAATGTATGCAGGTGATACAATGTGGATCTAATTAATGGCTGTTCTTAACCCTTTGACTGTTTCGGCCGTATACACACATCTTAGGAGCTGGTGTTTCGGACTTACGTATATATACTCAGTAATTCTAGTGGCTTCAAATCAAGCAGGAGAAAGCTGGTAGACCCACATGTGAGAGAATGGGCCAGTGTGCACTATATAAAAAAAAAAAATCCTGCAGCACAGTGCATAATGAGAAAAAAAAACTCCGACCGTGTTTTTGGGTTAAAATGTCGACATTGAGGTGTATTTTCATATAGTATTTATGGTTGTATTCTCGTTTTCTTGGTCTCATTTCATAGAATGGAAAACATATCACAGAAACACAGATGATTTTGATTAGTTTCACAATGAGCTCAAAGTAGCGGAAATGTTCGATTTTTACCAATGTTCAAGAGTAAGCAAATCACATCACATGTCCAATACATGTCAACTGGGGAGTCTAATATTCTTTCACTAGTGCACTGATATTTATACCATTTTTACAATAATGCAGTAGTCTGCATAACAGTAAATCTTCTATTTTTTGTGTGAATAAAAAATCGAAATAGAAAGCAAGAGTAATATAAGAGGGGCCTGGAGACGTGACTAATGAACAGAGGATGTTATTTTAGTGCCAAGAATGTCTGCATTATTTATTCTGGACCCTATTTTGAAATTGGCATCTTTTTAATTTGCGTGAAATTGGCCCAATTGCCAATTGACCACTATTGGGTAGTTGAAATTGGTAAATGGGCAGTGTCTTGTACTCAGTTGATAGAAAAAATGGAATTCTAAAGAAATAGCTACGAGTTTGGTCGACTGGAACAATGGAATTGTCTGAAAATAGGGCTCAAAGTCGGCGAAATCGCCAAAGAGTATATATTGCAGAGATCGCTAACTTTGTGGGAGAGTAATTCCGTAAGTTTTTGATCAAATTTTGTACTTTTGGTGTTGTTAGCATCGGGAAAAGATTCTTTATCATTTCATAAGATTTTCCTTTTCTTTTTCTTTTTTTTCGAAAATTTTGCAACATACAATGACAGTTTCAGAAATGGGCTTGCAACAGTCAAAGGGTTAAAGAACGTGGTTTCCATACAGTGATTGGTGCAAGGTGGCTGAGAATAATATAAACCAAATACCAGTGAAGAAACTTTGTAAGGACTCTTGGTTTATTAAGTTTATAGTTTGTTGCCTCTTAATTTCAAGCACAAAAGACCAAGACTCCTGCAAGGAAAACTCCAGCAAAGATGGTAGGGAAGACACCAAAGAAATCATGGGCTGACATTGTAAAAAGAGACCTTGTGTGTCGTGGTGTATCATCTAAAATGCAACGATTCAAGCACATGAGCAAGGGTAGAGGTGTTCCTGCCAAGCGAGAGTCCACAGTGAAATCAAAACACCCTGCAAATGTGTTTTGTGAGGCAAGTTTTTACTTTGTATGCTGCCATTTCTACAAGTACAGTAAACCCTCACTATAATGGACAAATAGGGGGATTGTCCAAGTGTTTGTAAGTACTGTACTGTATACCTAATATAGTACATACTGTATGCACAATTTACAGATGTACTGGAATAAACATTGAGCATAAAGGAGTTAAAAGCACAAGTCTGTTATATTGAGAGTTTACTATAAATATGTTGCCAAGTGTGAATAGAATTATAAAATTTTGGAGATATATAACTAACATTAGAAAATTAAGGGTACAAATGACTATGCTGTTAGTGATGAGATGCTGGGTAAGGAGAGGGGTTTTAGAGAAAGAGAAGATCTTAAGAAGTTGTAAAGAATATACGTGATGAAATGCTGGCAGAAATTTCATGCTTAGGATAAAGTGGGAGTAGAGTGAAAGTTTTCAGAGGACACCAGATTAGGTCCTGTAATTGTTGTGATTACAAAAGTCCTGTATTTCTGCAATTCAAACTGCCTTCCTCTTGTTCAGTACATGGCTCATTTTTACCTTGTCAGTCCAATTTTTCCATTATCCTAGCTCTTCTCCTTTATATTCATATTCCTGAGCTGCTCATTTGTTCTTCAGTTTCTCTACAGCAACACTAATATTTTTCCCCTTAAATATGATTGAAATAATTTCTTGTTATTAATGACCAGCAGCAGCAAAGTGCATGGAGTAAGTATATATATATTTTTTTTTTTTTTTCAGGAGGTGCCAAAAAGTTTTGAGTTTGGGCATTTGACTACTGGGCATGCTAACTCCCCTGCTCCAATATTTATTCACAATAAAACGAGTAAAACTCCACGAATATATCGAAAGGGTCGCAAAAGTCCATTTAATGCTGGCTTCACAAAATCTCAAGGAAATTATGGTGATTTGGATGGGTTAGACAGGCTAATGGCTACACCAAGAACAGGAATGAGAGAGATTGAGATTTCTCCTAATGATAAAACAAACTCTTCTGAAAAACTTCAGAATACCCCTCTAAGTAAAAAGTCAAATTCAAAGCCAAGATCTAGAACTCCTTCTCCATTGAAAATTAATGGATCATCAACTGAAGAATTTATGGGATCATTGGGTGCTTCACCAGTTGTCTTCCCAACTACACCATCTCAGCTAAAAAGTTTTCCTCGTTCTGTTGGTAAAAGACCTCATTCACGAATCAGTATTTTGGCATCCTGTACTAACATGACCAATTTTGATTTTTCATCTATAAAAACACCAGATATTACAAAGGATAATTTCATATCTCCACTAGTGACTCCTTCTCCCTCTGCCTCCAGTAAATTACCAGAGAATTTGCACAGAGGTTCTAGCAAGTCATTTATGGTGTCTCCGGAAAATATACAGTTGGAAACTGATGCTACTACATTTGACTTTGAAAATGCCCAAACACCTGATTTTTCTACACCCAATGTTTCTCAAGTTGAATTTCCTTCTCCAGTAAGCACACAATCTAACCATTTAGCTTCTGATGTTAATAACGTCAGAAATTCACTTATGACAAAGTACAATAATGCTGTAGGGAGAAGAGCACTGTTGCTAACACCAAAAGCAATTAGATCATTTACTCAAGGTTTGGATAGTGATTTGCATGAAATTAAGAGATTGCCTCGTACTCTGAGAGCTGTAGCTTCTACACCCAAGCCTGATTATAATGTTAATGTTATGACTAGCATTAGAACAAAGGATATCAGTGAAAGAAGGAAAACAAGAACTCCAGAGAATCCTAATTCTGATAATACATATTCTGATGTTGTAGTCCTTGATTGTGTTAATGACAAACATACTCCTAAAATAAGGAAAAGCCAAACACCCAGGTCAGTACTGGATAGCCCAAGTGTGGGTTATACAAATGGTGATAGTGGAAAACTAATAAAAAATATGAAAATAGCTGTTCCTGAAGCAAGTAATGACACTTGTAATACAGCAACAAAGGTTCCTGTGCCTGATTACAGTAATATTCAAGGTCTACAGAGTCTTTTCAGGACACCAAGAAGAAACCCAGAAAATGTGGAAATTAAAGCTAACTATTGTGAGCCGAGAGGTTTAAAGAAACTGCTTGCTACACCTAAACAAAAACAATATAGTCCATTTGCAGATTATACAAATGTTGCAGGTATTAAAAATCTTTTTGCTTCACAGATCCCTGTGAATTCTCCTGAAGCAAATTATACCAATCTCTATGGGATCCAGACATTGATGAAAACTCCAAATGCACTTGATTCTCTTGAGAGAGAGATTGAGGTAATGGGTGAACTTGTAAAGACTCCCCTTTCGGATCGCACCAATAAGGTAGTTAGGAAAATTGCACCTTTGTTGCAGCATTCACCTACTCAAAGTTTAGGGAGAATTCTCCGTAGCTCTCCAAAAGTTGTTAGCCCAGGCACAAGTTCGCCATCTGAAAACATACCACCAGTAGAAGATGGTACGCCTCGTAGATCTCGAAGAAACGCTAAAGTTGAGCTAGAGGCAGTTGCCATGTCAGTCAGGCAGAGACGACCTCGCAGAGGAGCTGTTAAAAGTGATGCGCAAAGCCATGTTACAGAATGTGAACTGGAGTCAATTAAATTGTCACCTGTTGTACCAGAGCGTAGTTTGAGGTCCAGGAAAAAAGTTGATTCAACTGATAAAAATGCCATGAATAAAAAAAAATCTAGAAAGGGTGAAAAGACAGCCAAAGTGGAAATCCAGAACTCAGTCATTATGAATAAATATCAGGAAAGTCCACAGATTGTGGAAGTTGATGTTGAATTGTCAGAAGTATCAGGTAAAGTAGAAATTACTCAAAGACAACCTGCTTTCTCCCCAGAAATTGACAATCCTAGTCTAAAATTGAAATTGGATACTCCAGTAAGTGTAGAGGATTTAGTGTCAGATACATTACTGGTCAAAAGACGAAATACCCAAAAAGCCGAATTGAATGTGCTCGTAGTCTCTCCAAGTAAAAGACGTAGGAAAATAAATAATGCTGTTTTAGAATCTGGCAAAGCAGTCCTGCCTGTATTGCAAGATTCTGAAACCTGTGTATCATTGGGAAAACAAGAACACAGTAATGACTCTGAATTAACACCAGATTTGTCTGTACCAGCACGTGGGAAAAGAAGAAAAAATCAGTCTCCTAACCAAGACGAAAAAAAACAGATGACACCAGTAAGAAGAGGCCGTAGTAGAAAGGTAACTACTGCAGCAGGCAATTCCATTACAGATGAGTCTAATAAAATAGAAACTCAATCCAAACATATTGAGCTGAACATAGATCCAGTGTTATGCAGGGAAAACCTTGATCTTTCACCCTCCAGGAAAAGAAACAGAAAGACTAGGGCACAATGTGTTAAATCAAATGATATACAAGAGGAGAGAGAAGTGTCCTCCCAATCACAAGATGCAGCATCCACGAGAAGTAGAAGAGGCAAACTTAAAGAAATAACAGAAAGTGAACAGCCTTTGACAAAAGGAAGACGGAAACTTGCTAATAAATTGGTCAGTGTGCCTGATGCCATTGAAAATATGCCAGACTTGTTAGTGGAACAAGAAGTGCGAATAACTCGACGGGGGCGTACTCGTGTCCAGAACAGTGTAGATGAATCAGTGCCTGTGTTACAGGAAACAAAAATGAAAAGAGGTGGTACCAGATTAAAAAATAAAAAGCTGGAAGCTACTGTTGAACCCTTGGAAGAGTCAGAAAAAGAGATGGATGAGAACTGCAGAGTTTTGGAGGAACCCAGTTTGGATAAGACATCAACTAAAGCCAAGAAGAATGACAAGTCAAGAAATACACGAAGCAAGAAGGAAGAAGAATCCCTCCGAAAACGAAAAGCAGATACAGCAATAGAAGGGTAAGTTGTTTCTATATTGTAATTGAAATCTTGTCATTGGTATCTTTGGTTCATGTCGTGTGTGTGACAGGTGATGAGCAGGAGTGATATGTTTAAAAATTTCCACGATAAGAAAGTTAATTCAAATATAGTTGAGATATATTTAGTAGTGAAGGGATTTGGGGAAACTGGTTAGCTGGAGTCCTGAAAATGGGAAGTACAATGCCTGCACCTTAACCCTTTCAGGGTCCGTCCCGTAGATCTACGGCTTTACGGTGAGTGTCCAAACCGTAGATCTACGCCATGAGCTCAGCTCACTCTGACAAACTGTGAGTGGTACATTTGGGCCTAGATATGAGAGAATACATCTATGTGGTATGTGTGCACCACATAAAACAGATCCTGCAGCACACTGTGTATAATGAGAGAGAAAAACTGAAATCATGATTTTTCGATTAAAACAGCAACTTTGCAGTGTTTTTTCGTATGTTTTTTATAGTTGTATTTGCGATTTCTTGGTCTCATTTGATAGAATGGAAGACATATTACAGAAATAGAGATGATTTTCATTGGTTTTAGCACTGGAAATGGCTTGAAACTGAGCTCAAAGTAGCGGAAATGTTAAATTTTTGCCGATATTCAAGAGTAAACAAACGACCTCACACGTCTAATACACGTCAGCTGGTGGGTCTAATATACATTCACAAATATGGTGATGATATTTATACAATTATTACAGTATTGCATAACAGTAAATCTTCTATTTTTTCGTGTGAATAAAAATTCATTATGTTTACCTGGAGTTTACCTGGAGAGAGTTTCGGGGGTCAACGCCCCCGCGGCCCGGTCTGTGACCAGGCCTCCTGGTGGATCAGCGCCTGATCAACCAGGCTGTTGCTGCTGGCTGCACGCAAACCAACGTACGAGCCACAGCCCGGCTGATCAGGAACTGACTTTAGGTGCTTGTCCAGTGCCAGCTTGAGGACTGCCAGGGGTCTGTTGGTTATCCCCCTTATGTGTGCTGGGAGGCAGTTGAACAGTCTCGGGCCCCTGACACTTATTGTATGGTCTCTTAACGTGCTAGTGACACCCCTGCTTTTCATTGGGGGGATGGTGCATCGTCTGCCAAGTCTTTTGCTTTCGTAGTGAGTGATTTTCGTGTGCAAGTTCGGTACTAGTCCCTCTGGGATTTTCCAGGTGTATATAATCATGTATCTCTTCCCTCCTGATTCCAGGGAATACAGGTTAGAAACCTCAAGCGCTCCCAGTAATTGAGGTTTTTTATCTCCGTTATGCGCGCCGTGAAAGTTCTCTGTACATTTTCTAGATCGGCAATTTCACCTGCCTTGAAGGTGCTGTTAGAGTGCAGCAATATTCCAGCCTAGAAAAAACAAGTGACCTGAAGAGTGTCATCATGGGCTTGGCCTCCCTAGTTTTAAAGGGTTTTCTCATTATCTATCCCTTTATTTTTTTAGCAGATGCGATTGATACAAGTTATGGTCCTTGAAGTGAGATCCTCCGACATAATCACTCCCAGGTCTTTGACGTTGGTGTTTTTGCCTATTTTGTGGCCAGAATTTGTTTTGTACTCTGATGAAGATTAATTTCCTCATGTTTACCATATCTGAGTAATTGAAATTTCTCATCGTTGAACTTCATATTGTTTTCTGCAGCCCACTGAAAGATTTGGTTGATGTCCGCCTGGAGCCTTGCAGTGTCTGCAATGGAAGACACTGTCATGCAGATTCGGGTGTCATCTGCAAAGGAAGACACGGTGCTGTGGCTGACATCCTTGTCTATGTCGGATATGAGGATGAGGAACAAGATGGGAGCTAGTAAATGTGCCTTGTGGAACAGAGCTTTTCACCGTAGCTGCCTCGGACTTTACTCTGTTGACGACTACTCTCTGTGTTCTGTTAGTGAGGAAATTATAGATCCATCGACCGACTTTTCTGTTATTCCTTTAGCGCGCATTTTTGTGCGCTATTACGCCATGGTCACACTTTTTCGAAGGCTTTTGCAAAGTCTGTATATATTACATCGCATTCTTTTTGTCTTCTAGTGCATTTTGGACCCTTTTCGTAGTGATCCAGTAGTTGAGACAGACAGGAGCGACCTGTTCTAAACCCATGTTGCCCTGGGTTGTGTAACTGATGGGTTTCTAGATGGGTGGTGATCTTGCTTCTTAGGACCCTTTCAAAGATTTTTATGATATTGGGTGTTAGTGCTATTGGTCTGTAGTTCTTTGCTGTTGCTTTACTGCCCCCCTTTTTGGAGTGGGGCTATGTCTGTTGTTTTTAGTAACGAGGACGACCCCCCTGTCCTGCTCCCTCTCCATGGGATGGAAAAGGCTCGTGATAGGGGCTTCTTGCAGTTTTTGATGAACAAGAGTTCCATGAGTCTGCCCTGGGCGAGTGCATGGGCATGTCTTTTATCCCCTGTTCGAAGTCATTTTTCGTCGGGTAACATCGGGTAGGCTTGTGTTAATCAAATTTTTTGGTCTCTAAAAAAATTCATTTTGATCTCGACTCCGTCTGGTTAGCGGCTTCAAAAACTGAGTCATATTGGGCTTTTTACTCACAATTTTCCCTTTCTGTCATCTGTGTGGACCCATCTTGTTTAAGTAGGGGCCCAATATGGACGTTTTTCTCGATTTTTTTTGGCATTGGAGAAGAAATACTTTGGGTTTCTTTGATTTCATTTTTGGCTTTTAGTTTTTCCCGCGATTCCGACTCCTAAAGGATTCTTTTAGCTTAAGTTCGTGCTTCATTTCCTGACCAGGTCTCCCTGCGCATTTAGTATATTGACCTTTTTAGCCGCTCTGTTATTCTTTTCCGTCGCCTGAAAGGGAGCCCCTGCTCTTTCTATTTTACATCACTCCTCCTTTTTTTTAGAGGAATAACCTTGTGCTACATCGAGTCCACCGAGTAATCGTTCTGGGCATAAGTTTGGGTTTGTGTTCTTTATATTTCCCCAGCTTATATCGGTTGGACTTTGTTTACTTGGCCCCATTTTATATTTTTTTTATTAAATTTTGAATTTGGTAAATCTCCCCGTAAAAGTCTCATTTTGTGGGTCTGGGGCTCCACGCATACATGTCTGAACCCTAAATTATGTTGGTCTGAGTTATTTTTTTTTGATAGGTGACATTTTTATCAATCATCATTGTTAGTGAAGAGGGGTTCTAGTGTATTCTCCAGTCTAGTGGGCTCTATTATTGCTGGTTTAAATTAATTTTTGGGGCAAGTTTTAAAATCTGTGGTGTGATTTTCATCAGAGCTGCCCCCGGTGTTTTTCTGCAAAAAATTTTATTTGTTATTCCTCCATTTTAGGGCCTTAAGTTGAACCCCCCGGGGAGCAATTTTTGGGTGCAGGAGCGGGAAAGTTTTTCCAGACAGTGGTCAATTTTTAACACTGTTCCTGGAATTTTGGGGTGTTTCCCCGGGGTTTAAACCCAATGACTAGGTTTTTGGGTTTGACCTTTACTGCAAAAATTCCATCGTCATTTGAGGGAAAAGGGTTTTGGCAAACAAGTGCTGCCCTTACGGGGCCCCCCCCCCCCCCCCCCCCCCCCCTTTTCCCCCCCCCCCCCCCCCCCCCCCCCCCCCCCCACCCCCCCCCCCCCCCCCCCCCCCCCCCCCCCCCCCCCCCCCCCCCCCCCCCCCCCCCCCCCCCCCCCCCCCCCCCCCCCCCCCCCCCCCCCCCCCCCCCCCCCCCCCCCCCCCCCCCCCCCCCCCCCTTTTCCCCCCCCCCCCCCCCCCCCCCCCCCCCCCCCCCCCCCCCCCCCCCCCCCCCCCCCCCCCCCCCCCCCCCCCCCCCCCCCCCCTTACTTTTGACTACCAAAGGGAAACCTTACCCCAATTTTTTTGAAAAAATTTTAAAACCCGGGTTTTTTAAACGTTTGAGGCCCCTTTTTAAAAAGGTGTTTTGCCCCTTTTCCTTTTTTGGGCCCAAAAATTTTTTTTTTTAAAAAATTTTTTTTTTTTCGGGGTTTTAAAAAGGGGGGGCACCCCACAAAAATCAAAATATTTAAAGCCCTTTTGTTTTAAAACCCCCAAACCCCCAAAGCTTCATAATGTTTTAAAAGGTTGATTTACTCAATTCTATAAACCTCTTAAATATTATATTACAACCCTTTTAAAATGAAGCCTAGCTATTTGTTTTTTGTTTCTAACTCTTTTTGTTTTGGGACAGCTTCCTCACTTTCCTATTTTTTAATTTTGTGTTTTAGGGCGCCTGAAACCCCATCCTTTTAAAGTTGTTTTATTGCCAACAAACTTTTTAACCAGTCCCGGGGGACCATCAAGGTTGGACCATCGTTCTGCTCGATCAGTGGTACTTTTTAAAAATTTTCGGGATTTGAGCTAAAAGAAGGATCTAGGAAATTTAGGATCTACTGGAAATTATCTACCCGAGTTTTTATGTGATTTTACTGATACAAAAAAATAACTTGCTGTTGAAGGCCGGGGGAACTGGCGTCCTAAATTACGAAACGGTTCGACCTCCTTGTTTTCATCCTGTACTGGCTTTTTTTTATTTTTTTTTTTTTTTTTTTTTTCCCGTCTCACCACAATAAATGCTTTATCCTTATTCTGGTAAATTTTGGAGGAAGGACGCTTTTTTGTAGTAAAATTCTTCTCGTTTTGTTATTGCGACCGCTGGTAAAAAAGGTTATATGAAATTCACAGTAACGTCCGTATTTTCAAAAAAAAGAAACAATGAAAGTCCTCCCCTCCATTTTAAATACCATTATAAAATGGTTAGTTGCTACACAAAAAATGATTCTGCTATTCACTGGTATCACTAGATTTTTTGCATACACAGCAAACCCGGAAAATTTTTTAAAACAGCGATTGGGTAATTTCTGGCGCTTCTGGCACCTGCCTCTATAGCTTATCACTTTATTTAAAATTCACCTGTTTTAAAAAAACTTTAGCCTTTATCACAAAAAATTTGGGAGCCATGTTTAACCTATCACTATGTAATCAATGTTTTCAGGGAGCTTTTTTCCCCTGACCGAA